CAAAGTTTAAATAACATTAGAATGACAATAACATTTGTCATAGAACAACAATTAGTAACTACTTAACTTACTTGAATTTTTTCTGTTGTTTCAACTCGATCGTTTTCAAATTTTTCAACTGCTTGAGTTGATGCATTCATTTTTGTTACAATCTACACAAGTCAAAGAAATGCATACGACTCCTGTATACAATTATATCAGGAAGAAATTTGATCTTACATCGTCAATTCTCTTTTTGGATTCTTCACATTCTGCCATGCATATAGCACATTCCAAACCCCGTTTACTGCGATCCCATTTTTGATATTGTTTTAATTCTTCTTTTTCCGTTTCTAAACTAAGTAAACGTTCTTCGATTGCTTTTAATAAATCGGCTATTTTCTTTCGACGTTCTTCTACAAAAAGAGAAAGATAAAATATAAAAAAACGCTTGTCAACGTAGCTTTCAATGGAGCTAAAATGTGTAACTCCCCTGTAAGATGTTAACAAAGTGGTAATCATAAGTAGGTGACATCAACCTTGTCATTTGTAATGAATCGCGCGGAAAATTAATTATTAAAATAAGAACAAAAAACAAGATTTGATTGAAAAAGTGAAAGTCTCCTAATTTTTAAATATTATTCTATCTTACTTTTAAATGTGGTTATACGTCTGATAACTCTACATATTTCAAATAAAATGCTCTGCATACCCAACTAAGGCGTACTCCACCTTTTTTGAAGCCGTCCTACACACGAACAATATGACACTATACACACACACACACATTTTAAGACGTTCTCGCTATGAGGGGGTAAAAATCTGCCATTTCCACAGAGTTTCGAATACATAACTGTATCTCGTCAGCCTTCGGATCAGTCAGAGGAGTTACACAAAACACCAAAATTGGTGATATGTCTTTAATTCAAGAGACAGTCGCTTCTTATCTTTTGTCAAACATTAGAAAAAGTTAGGAACTGAATGTAGTTATATACCAGTTTCAGTTAATATTCCCTCGCTTTCTTGTTTCTTCTCATCATAAACTTTTGTTCCAGCTACTTCGCGTAACAATTGTAAACGTTGTGCATCAGGTGCTATTGCCATTTGAGTTATCTAAAAGAAAAAAACATTAGTTATATCGGAGTATAATTCTATTTTTCATGAAGAAAAGAAACAATATTTACTTTTCCTTGTTTGACAATGTAATACGGATTACTACGTGAAAATCCGGCACCTTCCAGCATATTAACAATGTCAGTTTTACTAAAACGAAATATAAAACAAATAAATAACAATAACTATATTCGTAAATAACTCATACTTGACAACTTTTCGATCAAGAAAATAATTATCTTTTTTTCCACTTATTTGTCGACGTACAGCTATTTCTTGTTTATCAATCTAAAAAGAAAAAGAAATATAATCAGTATGAACCGTAAGGAACATCCACTATTATAAACATACCATAATTCGACTATCGGTATTATCGAATATGATTTCAACATAAGCATTTAATGCTCGAGAATTAACACCTTCATGCATTAAACTATAACGTCCTTCAGCACTCAAATTATTAAATTCGTCACTTAACACAAACTGAATAGCTGAAATGAAGAAAATAAAATAAAAATTATAAATATTTGGAGAAAAATAGACGGTTTTCTAGCTGTAAGCTGACGAAAAAATGTAGCTTCTTTATTCCCTTGGAAAAAATCTTAAAGTGATGCCATACGATCATGAACATGTAAGGAAATAATGTTGACGAAAACTTACCAAAGAAAAAATTTGATTTTCCACATCCGTTTCGTCCAACTGTAATGAAAAAAGAAAAATACAGAGATATGAATACATTACTTTCTTCTTTGTCTTACCAATGATATTATAACGAGGACTGAATGGTTCGACAATTGTTTCATCACGATACGATCGAAAACCTTGAATAATTACCTAAAGATACAAATGAATGCTTGTAGAGCGAAAATCAAGAGAAACAAAACATACTTGTTTTATATACATCGGAGATTTATATACAGTGAGATTATAAAAGACAAAATGAAATCTAAAACGGTATTCAAAAGATAGTAAAGAAATATGCAAAAAAAAACACACACAAAAGGAAGTCTTGTTTATCACTGAGATGAAATGGTGATCATTTTTCGGTTGACTGTAAGTCATCTCTTTTTCTCAGGACACATTTTTACAACTGAATCAGATACTTTTTCCGAAATGAAGTAGCTTTCAAACTTCCAATAATTAAGTCTATCATACACTACACAAAAATCGTGTAAAAATCTTAATATGAGTATTCTTCATTACAGTGAAGTGCAACGATGTTTCCACTGGGAATATGAATTAAACTATATTTGTCCATATACACCTTGTATTCAAAGCTCATCTATACACGTTCTGAAAATTTCTTGTAAATAATCTTCTACGGAAAAAACCTCATTTATCTTTCAATAATTTGCCTGGTAAAAACGTGATCGCACAAAAGCATGTAATAGGAATATAGGAGTAGGAATAGGAACAGGAAATGTAAATTAATTATTCAGTTATTGGTACATCTAATAGATCTAATAAAAATGAGAAACAAAATGAATAAAAACAACAGAAAAGAAAAACAAAAGTATGATATTGTACGGAAAATATTATCCGTTAATCGGTTTTAGCGTTCGTTCAAAGAGTTAAAAAATAAACTGTTGTCATTGACTTTTCGTTTTCAATATTACCAGATCCTCATTATGCATCTCAACACAATCGATGTAAGATCACGTAGAATCAGGGCAGTAGCCAGGAGGACCTTCTCTTTTCCCATAATAATTTTTGATTATTCTAAAGATGACCTAGAGACGGACGATAAGACTGTTTTCAAAGCGAAACTTGATCGAAGGAAATTTATTATAAAAAAAATGAATATAGGAGAGCGGCCATGCAACGTTGATGGGACGTTAAAAGCAATACAATAGCCAAAAATATTTTATCCTAATCTTCATGTTCTAATTGAATTGTATGCAGTGGCTCCAGTTTCTGTGACGAGTGCCGAGCGTTAGTTTTCATTCACAAAACTGATAAAAATTATTTGCGTTATAGCATCGGCGATGAACGACTCAGCAATTTGGTGGTTATTAGTTTCCATAAACACATGGGTCAGTAGTTAGATATGGAAAGCACCATCGACGATTTTCCCAAAACAAAACGTGGAATAAAACTGACAGACAGGGGGTCGTATCACAAAAAAACAGTCAAATTGTGACTGAAGTCATGAGAAATGTAGTCTTAAAGTTAAGACCGAGAACTTAAGTCGGACTTAAGTCATTGACGCATTTTTTGAATAGATCAGGCATTTAATGATACGATTCGACGAAAACGACATTCTAAGGATTAGAGAATAAATATTTCGTTATTTTGCTGGTTTTTATCCGAAGTTTGTCACTGTTGTCAACGACTTTTAAAAAGTAAACAAATCGCCAACTTAAGTCTTTTTCATGATACGGTTTAAGTCCCCGGACTTAAGTCAGTCTTAAACTTAGACTTAAGTCCCGACTTAAGTTTTTTCGTGATACGACCCCCAGCTGAACATTTTTTTCTCAGTAATAACTCGTGCCAAATGAACAAGCTTAATATTTCTGGTAGAAATGTCTTGTTTTGTTTTACTTGTTTATCGTATGAAAAAAACGTTGCCAGTTGATAAGAGCAGACAAACGCAAGTTTTTATACAACCTATCCATGCTCCATCAGAAAAAAATTTCATAATATCTCTGAAGGCAAAAAAAGCGGTTTCTCCCTTCACAAAAATCCTGGCTACGGGGCTGCGTAGAATCATCGATGTGTTCAATTTAATTCGGCAATTGTTGCACAACTATCTTGAATAATTATCTTCGATATTATTATAAAACTCATTTTGGTGACAATATTCAATTGCTTCACTTCCTTCTACGAGATGCTATAACTCTACAACAATCATTACTACATTTAATTGTTTTCTCGTTCACGTTCTTATGATAAATGATCAGCCATACCGAACACCATATCGTGTTTTTGCACTTCAGGAAATATATTTAATCTGGATAGATAAAATGACTAGTACGTAGTCCTGTTTAATTTGCCGATGCTCAAATTTTATTCTGAATCACTATTAGTTGAATGTGATTGAATTGTGCTCCGTTTGGAGCTATTTTATTTGAAGCTAAAAGGAGAGAACGATATATTACAAGAAAGAGAAGTTATATTACAATCATTTCCTTTTGGCATCTTTTGTTCTTTTCTACTCAAAACATTCGATGAAATATATGCACAGTATGACCAATCAAAAGGTGTTACATGAAAACTATCAAGTAGCGTATTTACAGTAGAAACCTATGCTAAAGAAAAGTATAGTTTGTCTTCTACTACTTTATTGGTAACTAAACTGGCGACAGCGTATCTAACGAATTTCTGTCTATAGGAGCAAAAGAGTCGCACTCTAACAGAATTCATCCGGTTCTATTAAATAACCCAATAAGAATCTTTTTTGTACATGAGGATCGCATTCAACCATCCCCATCATCGGTTCGTGCTCCTATCATTTGTGATTTTTTTATGCAAGATTATGATAGTAAACTTCTCATACCTTTCCCTCTCTCTCAGTATTTTACGATCGTCTGCTATATGAAAATTGTAAATTTGAATCATCATTAAGTGAATAATTCTAAAATATGAAATTGCTGGTGGATGACTGAAAGTTTTTTCATTATTAAAAAAGCTGAAGCGATAAATAAGCAGTACAACGAAAGAAAATTGTCTAACTATGCATCACCAAAAGACTACTGATTACTGTTGTGATAGTATGGGACGCATTTGTATAAGGGAAAGAAGTACATACCAAAAAACGTGAATATCTCTCTCGACTTTTAGCACAAAAGTATAGGTATAGGTATAGGTATAGAATAGAAAAGTTTAGTCGTGAACACCAGTATTTAATAACAACTTTCTTTTGTCATGACGACAATCTTGTTTTTTTTATATTAGGCAGTTTGACTGTGATGGTATCAGAAAAATGTCAGATAGTTTGCTCAAATGAAGAGCAATGCGTAAATGATTCAGATGCATTATGTTTACATTGTCATTTGTATGTTTGTGTAAATCATTTTCTACAACATCAAGAAACGTTAAAATGCAAAGAAGAATACGATTTTTTAATTAAAAAAACAATGGAAAGAAAATTAGTTCTAGAATCGTTGACATCAACAAGTACTGAACAAAATCGTTTACGTTCACAACTTGACGATTGGTTCGAGCAATTGAACACTATTTACAAAAAAAAATGTGAAGAAATTGATCATCTCACAACAAATAATGATAAATTTGATCGAATAAAATTAGATTATTTACATGATATGAACGCTTTTTTATTGAAACAAACAAAAAAACAAAATGTGTGTTCTAGTGATTTAAAAGATGTTAAATTATATTTAACAAAACTAAATGAATCAATTGACATATTAACAAAACTATCAACAGGAAATAAAACGTTAACATTTGAGAATTTGATGGATGGTATTAATCTATATTCCACGACAACAAATGCACTAAACTCTTCTAGTAAGTGTTGTTTGAGACAAAAATAGTACATCATTAAAGAAAACAATACGTTCTGCGTCACAATCATGTATAAATATGAAAGAGTAGAGAAACTGAATTTCAACATTAAATAATAGTATCTCTCATCATGAAATAAACATTGATGTTTTTATTTTGAATAATTTCAGCTGATTTTCCCGTCAAAACTGAGCCATCATTCGAAGACAGCGACAGTGTTAATTTGGCATTATTTAATATAGAAAATGATTACGTTACGCAAGGTATAAAGCATATACTTGACGATGTCTAAAGAAGATTATTGTTTGTTTTTCGTTTAGATAATTCATTTATGAGTATGAATAATAATGAACAACGGTATATCTCTAATAAAAAAAAACTGACTGTAAAGACGTTTAACATATTTTCTTGTATTTATAAGGCAAATAATTACTGAAACTGATAATAATGACGACTTGCAAGATGGTAAGTTTGTTGTTATTCAATAAAAAAAAAATATGTTAACTGATCATAGATTTCTTGTTTGCATACAGATTTAAATGAAGAAAATGAACCACAAATACAAGAAGGTAAAATCAATAATTGTTTGTTATTATACTAGTCACCTTTATTGAGAAGTTTTTCATGTTTATACAACGGTTTCGTTGCTTAAATATTTTTGATTTTCAGATTCAATGCAAAGCGATAATGAAAATATACAAGATAAAGATGATCAACCGAGGGTTAGTCGTAAATTTATTTTTTGTTGCAGTTTTCTAAAAAGAATTATCGTGATACTTTTGTTGAATATTCAATTTTGATTGATGAACATAAATTTCGTGGAGTGAAAGACATAAAGAGGCAAGAGATAAATCCTACTGTCTATAAAATAATTTGAATACACTGATCGATCTTTTTGTTGACGTGATACTTTTAAAAGCTGTTTTTTTTTGTATTGAAACTCTACTGTATTCTCATGCAAATTAAATTCTACTGTGATAGTTTTTATTTAATATTAGACTAGTCATTTTTATTTTTATGTTTTAGTCCCACCTAATTCGCTCGTTTAAATCAGATATATGTCCATTTATATCAACCAAATTAATATTCGGTATTCGTAAGGAACATAATGTAAATAATATACCTTGTAACCAACGTCATCGATCAAAAGCATTTGGATTATCTTTTCATTTACAAGATTATCATGATCTTAGCTATCAATCAGCAACAAAAATTGTTAAATTAATAATGAGTGCGAATGATTCAGCTGTCGATACCGCTATTGATTTATTCTCTCGAGAAAAAACAATTATTTTTCCATTAGTACAATCGTATAAAGCAGAATGTCCTTTGAAAACATACAATGTGTACGGTATCACAAAAAATCATAAAACAAAACTGTGTCAAGGAGAACATTTGCATTTAAAACATCATTTTATAGTTTATCATGATTTATCATCAGCATGTGCAACAAAATTAGTTAAAGCAATAATGAATAAAACAAATAAAAATGTACAAATATTTCAAGCTAATGAAACTATTATTGAAGAAAAGCTACAATGTTCTTTAATACTGAATAATTTAGAATCATATGGTATTACTAAAAAGATTGTAACAAATACACCATGTTCAGCAATATTGAAAAGAAATTATTTACAAAAGCATATGAAAACCGCTCATCATTTCACATCTACGGCAATAAAGAAAATATTAGATGGTTATGGAAAAAATCAAAAAGAAAAATCATTCGAATGTAACGAACGAACTGTGGAAAGATCAAAAGTATCGAAAGTACGTAAAGATCATTGGATTTATTCAATGATAATCGAGTGTTTTATATTGAAATGTTGTCCCTCTTATTCTCGGAATGCTGAGAGAATCAAGTAGTCTAGTGGAAAACTCGAGCAAATTTTGCAAAAAAAAGACCACAATTACAGAGAACAAAGTCTTTTTAGTTTATCAGTGACTCACAACCCAACAGCTAAAAAGCTTTCCGGCATCTAAACAGTGTTTGAACTTTTAGAAAGAATTGTTTTGTTTTAGAAATTAAAACGTCTCAATGCAAAAAAGAAAAAGTGGCGTATGTGATGTTGCATATCCGGTGCTGCTATTCGAAAAAATAGATTGAACTATATTATATGGATGTATTTTCTCATTTCCATGTATACTTAACTGTTCAGTAGTGTTATTTTCAACATTTTATTTCGCTCAATTGCGAATCCATCGGTGATCCTTTTGATCTCATATTATGCCTAAGGTTTTTTGTTATGTCTTAGTTGTGTTGAAGAACGGATTTTTTGAGTGAAACTGGAAACTTTTTGTTTCGATCTGTTTTTCCATCAGTCTGATGTTTGTCAAAAACACGAAAGAAAGTATATTTTTCTGCCAGATAAGCTAAGCTATTGTGTCCATGTCATTTTTTCGTTTTTTTCTTATTATGTGTGTTGTTGTCTCTTTGTCTGTTATATTCTTGATAATGTAGCATGTTTTCCTGTTATGATGATTTAGTAATTTTTTTTTTCATGCAATAAGATTGATATGATTGGTAGATCTTCTATGTAAAAATATAAACCCTGGTGGCTATTTTTTTCTTCTATTTTTTTTAGTATGTTAAAATACTCTATGACTGTAAAGAAAAATTCGCTATATATTGTGTATGTATATCAGTATAATAGTATATAATATATCAGTTATGTATCTTATTAAATAATAGTTGAAATTTTTTGATCGCTGTTGTAAATTTAAAATTCGTAGGTATAAAAGCACTTACGGACTCGTAAAAAATGGTTTCTTTTTTCAGATTTCTCCGTTGAGCATCCGTTTACCTTGCTCATTAGATCTGTAAGACAGTTGATGTATCAATATGATTTTTATCTGCTTCTCATTATTAAATACTATTCGACATTTTTAAGCATGGAGTTGATATAATTTGGACATTTTTTATTTCATAGTTTTCCTTAGATTCAACTTGTCACGTTTTGCCAAGCGCAACTATTTTACGTTTACATTCTGTCGGATAAACACTTGTTTTTTTAGAATGAAATCGACAGATTCCATAAAGAAGATAAAACAAACGGCTTCATTGAACAACAAAGTTATTGATAAAAAGTTAACCAAGAAAAAGTTTAAAACGAATAATAAAAAGCCAAAACAACCTGTTGATTTTGAAGTGAAAGTACCAAGAATTATTGTCAGAAATTTAAGTTTTAAAGTAAGTGATTCAATACATCTAAATTGTCAATAAAAAAAATGTAAAATTTCTTAACATTTACTTGCAGGCAACAGAAGATGTTTTGAAAAAAACATTCGAAAAATGTGGTGAAATCATTGCTGTGTCTCTGGTCGTTAAAAGTGAGTGTAATGAGACTACTAGCGGATGCTTAACGAGAGATCGTTAATATTTAAAAAGCCTTTCTACATTAGTGTTCTATTTGTTTTCCTAGATGGAATTCCAAAAGGTTTTGGTTTTATAACATTTGTGGATTTAAAAAATGCTGAAACAGCTGTACAAACAATGAATGGTAAAAATATACTAGGTAAAAAGAGTGAAAATATATTCACTGGCCTATTTATGTTGTTATATAGTTCATTTTTTAAGGTAGACCGATAGCCGTTGATTGGTCATTGCCGAAAAATATTTATGAACGAATGCAAACAAAAGGTGCGTAGGAAAATAAAGTAAAAGAAAAAGCAAAAATTCACCTATTTTCTTTCTAAGATACGAATGAGGTAAAACCAAAGAAAGATAAACAAGAAGCAATTTCATCACCAAAAGATGATAGTTATGGGTTTCATTCAGTACCGTCACTTAAAAATGAAGACAAAAAAAGCGTTGCTAAGAAAAGAAAACGAACAAAAACTGATGATGATGATGAAGTACAAGAAGGAGAAGAAAAAGATCAAGACGAAGATAATAACATGGAACACGATACTGATGTGAATGATAAAACAATAGCGAAAGAACAAAAAGATGCAGGTACAGGACTTCAATAGTTTCTCATCGATTTTGAGATTGACTATTCTCTTATTATGCACATCTTACTCGTTCATATAAGTCTTTTTACATTTCAGCATCTCGTTCAACTACTGAGCCTAGTCGTGATGTTCGCGAGCAGCGAACCATATTCGTTCGTAATTTACCATTTGACACAACTGATGACGAATTGAAAACTTTAATGTCAACTTATGGCAAAGTTGTCAATTGTAAATTAGTTATTGATCCTGTTTCTCTACATCCACGTGGTACAGCATTTATACAATATGCAACATCTAATGAAGCTCAACAATGTTTAGTACAACAACAAGCTTCATCACCGTTAATTCTTAGAAGTCAAGAAATAAAATTAGATTTAGCTATGGGACGACAACAATTAACAACAGCATTAAAAATACGACAAGATAAAACAACTACAAAACGATCACATCGAAATTTAGATTTGGCAAAAATTGGAGTCATTTTAGGTAAAATATAGATTAACTTTGAGTTGTATTCGTTTTTCGTATTAATATTAATATATTTTTATTTTAGATCCTCAACAATTATCTGAGGCTGATTTACATAAACGACAAAATTTAGAAGATCAAAAAAAATTGAAATTAAAAAATGCCAACCATTTTGTATCACGTACACGTTTAACTATTCATAATTTACCAACACGAATAACTGATGAACTGTTGAAACAAATTATTTTCAAACAATTTGAAAATGAAAAAATCATTGTAAAAGAATGTCGAATTATGAAAAATAATAATGTAGGAAAATCACTAGGTATTAATGATAATTTTTTATTTGACTGTCCGTGTTTACTAGATTGGTTTCATCATTTAGGTTATGGTTTTATTGAATTAACTCGTCATGATCATTCGTTACATTTATTAGAACGATTAAATAATAATCCAGAAATATTTGGTGAAAATAAACGTCCGATTGTTCAATTTTCTATTGAAAATAAACAAGCGTTACATTTAAAAGAAAAACGATTCGAACGAATAAAGGCAAAAAATGAATTATTAAAAAATCCTGCAAATAAGACATTGTTATTTAACAATGGAAATAATCAACGAAAAATAATTGACATTCAGAAGAATGATTATGAACATCAACAGTCAAAAAATAATGGTGAAAAGCGTTTAAGTGAATTGATAAAAACGCCTGAACATCAGAAACAAGATATTGACCGTCTACCAAAAGTTGACGGGCAAAAACCGCCAATATCAAAAAGGAAAAAACGAAAACAAAAGCAAAAAAATGAAATTAAAGATGAACTTGATGTCCTTGTCTCTAAACGGAACAAAAAAGCGGTTGAAAAGACGAAAAAAACATTTAAAAAGAAAAAGGAAACGAAATGGTTCGAGTAACTCTGTTTCAAATGTTATTTGTCTCTCATTGTTATTAAAAGTTGAATAAACACATTGTTATGATTCTAATTTTATTCTGACAGACTTTTCCAAGAAATTCAGATTAGCTCAAGCTTGTAGAGAGTTTTAAAGATTATCGAGCTGTATTTTTATTCAAAGCTATCTGAAAGAAATGTAAAGAAAAATCTATTCATCTATGTTAAACGTGAACTTACGAAACCGTTCTAAAACAAAAAAGAGAGTTAGCCGATTATTGACCTAATATGGATCCCTCCTTTATCACAAAATATATTGTCGTGTGATGCACTTTATAACGATGATGAAGTTTATTTATTTGTTTGGTTTTAGATGTATAGTCTGTAGATACTGAATAATGACCTCCACACACAATGGTGTTAGTTGTGATTGTTGTATGAAAACTAATTTTTCTGGTAGACGTTATAAATGTCTAATATGGTATGTGTTTTTTAATCATTTTTCTTACCTATTAGATAAATAAGATTCTATTCTCTTTGTAGTGATAATTATGATTTATGTGGAACGTGCAAGGAAAATAATAGTGAAACACAAGATCATTTACAACATCATCCAATGCAATGTTTATTGACAAATCAATTGCATGAAGTATTTTATGGTGGTGAATCAATACCTTGTCGATCAATTGTTTCATTATGTTGTCCATATTGTGGTCAAGCAGGATTTTTAACGCAAGATCTTTTAACTCATTTAATTCAACAACATTCAACCTCACAAAATTTACAACCAGAAGAAGTAATATGTCCACTATGCATTATTCAACCAGATGAATATCAAAATTATCGTACCTCTTCTCTTATCGAACATATTCTAAGTGCACATGAACATGAACAAACAACACCCACATTTGGTACTGCTTCCTCGGCCGATGAACGACCGAGATATTTGACAACAGCGCGAGGAAGAGGACGACATACAGATGATTTATTTGGTGATCATCCTCGACGAACAATAACACGACAATCAACAATTCGAAATAGGGCAACCGGTACGACAAATCTCAATCCATAAATGACTATTCTGAAATGACGTCTGCTCGAGAAAGAAAAAGAGGAGAGAGAAAAAGAGAAGAGCAGATGAACGTCAGGTTGTTTAGAGAATAGTAGACGTCATTTGTGTCTAGTAGAAATGAACGTATATTGATAAGTGATACGTTTTCAACTTCAGGTGATCCAATTTCAGACTTAGTTTCACAATTAGTTGGTAGTACTACATCCTCGGGAACGCCAACACCAACTACAACTAGTGAATTAATTCGTTTACAACAACAATTGGAAAACAATAGTGATAGAATGTTACAATTGAAATCAACGTTACTACAAGCAAAACAAGCCCAACACAAACAGCAATTAATTGCTGCCGCTGCTGCTGCTGCTTCACCTGCTACATCGTTTAATTTTGATAATTATTATTTACAACAATCAAAAACATTAAATAATAATAATAGTAATGAAAAAGATCAACGCTCATTATTAGGAAAATTATCGATTTCTGGATCGCGGTCATCTAATGATAAGAAAAAACATCAGCAACAAAGACATCTTGATTTTATTCAAACGGTTTTGTTGAGTACATTGGGTGGTGCTGCTAACAGCAATGGTGAGAATGCTGTTGATGGTGATAAAACTGCTCAAGATGAAAAAGAAAATGAACATTGAATAAGAAAAATTTAATTTATTTTTGTCATTTTTTTTTATCTTTGTTTTCTAATAAATAATTCAGACTACTGAAGTGCATTTTCTTCACTATAATAGAATGAGACATTAGCTCAATTCTCTAATGATAGAAACAAGGATCTGAGAAGAAAAACATCAATTTTTTATTTTAACAATTTACTTATTTGAAAGTTAATTGGTTCAAAACTTTTTCGAACAAGCTGTATCGCTTTTCAACTGAAGGGGATAAGGAGGATCCATTTTTTATTTTTTCATTGTGTTCTTTCTGCCTGGATATTTTCTATTTGTTATTTTCTTTGTTTTCTACTATGACTGCTGATGTACTAAGAATTGTTTTATTCAACTATTCACTGTTTCAACGAACTCTGTACATTCAGTTTCTTATCGTGTACAACAAAATCCTGTTTACACAACTCGAAATATACCCGATAGAAAGCAGAATGCTGCTAATTACAAAGAGAATTAATAGTGCATTGTCAGAGATGTGCTAGTATGAGTATGAGTACGAGTATTTTCTACTTTCATGACAAAAGTTTTAGCTGCCTAACAATAGCCATTTTCAATATCTTTCTGGTTATCAGTTGAAGGAAAGTTACGTTCTAATCTTAGTTTTTTTATGTTACTCTTTATTATTCATTTGTTGTACTTTATCTGAATACACAAGAATGAAACATTATCCTAGAAGATCATTATTACATTTGAAAAATGTTAACATACATAACGTTGATGCTGATAACTTTGAACAATGTGGGCGAATGATAAAGCCGCTTTGAGAAAAAGTTCGCTCTATTGATGCGGATGTTGCAGAGACCGTAAATATTTTAGAGCAAATTTTGATAGATGAGGATATAATCGATGTTTCGTTAAAATAAGATCAAATAAGCTTCTTCTTTATACTTTTCAACGAAAAAAGAAAAGGCACAGTTCACTTTTTTTTACCGAGTTATTTTCATCTATAGGAAAAGATAAGAAGTCTCTGTTTCCTTCCTATCTGCTTTTATAGTTCACATAATGCGTCGTCTTACCTGATGGTCTCTTCTAGTGACCAAGAGAAAGATAGACAGAAAGAAACGGAGAGAGACTTCAGGAAGGAAGAAAGAATACCCCACCTTTCGGCTACCTTGCGGTATAGGATGCTGTCCGGAGACAGTTTCGTAAGCCCGATATCTTCCCTACAACTAATACTAGCTGTAGCTCTGGACAGAAGGTCAGCCTGGCTCAGAGTTCTTTCGCTCAATCGCTTGAGCTCCTCGTACACATTGACTAACCACATACTAGCCACGAGGACTGGTGTATGTCACAATGTAGTCAGCATACTATCGGACGGATGATCCGAGGCGAACAACCGTTAATGACTTGCCCAGGGTCATTCCATGTCTCGTGGCGCTGAGGCTCGAACACAGTATCTTAGAGGTAGCCTTCAGAACACACAAAAAGCTAGCAAATAATAATAGCAAATAATAATAGCAAATAATAATAGCAAATAATAAGAGAAAAAGAAGCCGAAGTGGATTTTGTGACAATAATCACGTTTATTCATTTTGCAAGACAACAGTTTTTTGTAAAGCACAGTAGTAAAAAACTTTCAAGTACTCGACAATACTCGAGTGCATTTTTAGGTACTCCTAAAAAAAGTCCCGAATACTAGTACGAGTACTGAAAATACTCAGTACTCGCCCATCTCTGTGCATTATTTGATAAAAAAATCAGTCATTGATTAGGGAGCATACTAAAATGTGTGCTGCTCGCTAGATCGCTCTGCCCCATTCAAATTCTAATTTATTTTATTGTGTTTAATTTCGGTTCCTCTGATTGTATTGTAGGTACATACATACACTGGCATATATTCGATGTATTCGTTATTTTTAAAATAACAAGTATTGTAGTATGTAAGCAAAAGAATGCAACAAATGAAGAAGAGATTTTTATTTAACTACTGTACAAGAAATATACCTCAAATACACTTTGCTTTTGCACATTTGGTACGTATTCGACTACATTTCTTATTTAAAGTTTCTTTGAATAGAGCACTACTTTTCATTGAAAAGATAAGGGAGTGTTTCCAAATAGCGTTTCCAGTGGGTCGCTGTTCCTCTATTCCACGACTATTTCTGTATTCCGCTGCTGTTACACAACATTTTATTTTATAATAATTTTTATAGAAATGCACAGGAACTTCGTCTTCTTTTCCAATTGATTTGATTACTTCTTCAAAGACAATTAACCGCTATGTTTCATAAGATTATTCGTTTATCAACCTGTTAAAAACACATACACTTGTCTTTTACAGTTTATTCTGCTCTGATACGATTTAGACTTTCCTATAAAAGAAATTTTTCTGTTTTTCTGTTTAAAGAATAAAGTAAGAAAAGAACAAATTTTATACTTCAATCAAATGTTCATCTTTTATAGGAAGAGAGTGCTCACTGTAAATTTATTTCGTATTGTACCAAATTTGCGAACTAAAGTTACATCAATTAGAGAAGACCCATTTTCATTTTTTATACTTGTTGTACACGATACTGATGTGTTTTTTAGAAAAGGATCCCATTTAGTTTTTGAGATATATGGCTATGAATATCCCTCATTATCGTTTAGAAAAGTAAGTTTTTGCATTGATAAGACAAACAAAAAAAAGGAATAATGTTTCGAAGTATAGTGCAGTAGAAATATAACAACTACTTAGACATACATAAAGAACTATATCTAAACACAACTGAAAATATTTAACATATCTTTCTGATGAACATTTTTTAGTTTTATAACCCTTCCTCCCCGGATGTCCACAGGCGTGTAGTGAATATCGGAGAATCGCTATAACAAGATGACGATGTGTCGTATCGAAAAACGGATTTTTTTCTAGTATAACCTGACACCATAAGGTAGCGATTATTAATAAGAAAAAATTGTTTTAGTCTAAGCAAAGTTATAAGAATTTCAAGTTCGGTTTGTATGATCAGTTATCGAGATAAAGCGGTAAACAACTTTTACTATTCATTTCACCCTAGAATGAACCCAGCTGTTCTTCGTATAATTTCGGAACAAAAAATAATATAAAACACTGATATAAAACTACATGAGTTATAACTAGTTGGAGTTGAAACTAATTATAACTAATTTAACTTCAAGTTAAAAATTTGCAATAGTTATAAATATCAAGCGCGGTTGATAGTAATAACTCCATTTGATAGTGTTGATTGATATAAATCGTACCGTCCAGAAAGTCCTAAGTAAAGTCGTTAAACGTGCTCTTCTGTACAAATCAGCTCCGAAGATTTTTTCTAGATCCATCACTGACTCTTTTAACCGCAGTTATATCGATCACCCCGAGTTGATAGTTATAACTAGGGTTTTGACTAAATCAACTTTTTCAGAAATTTTCTCAAATTTAACTTTCAAAAAACAGGTTTAAATCCATTAGTGATATAAAAGTTAAGAAACATAGTTTAGTCGCTAAAAACTGTATTTCTTAATTCTCATAGTAAAAAGTTCAGTTTCAAATTTAATTTAACTTTCAGCTAGTGACAAACAAAGGCAACAAATCCTCGGTAGAGGTATGTGATGGAATTTTGCTCTGATGAGGTACCACTACAATATACACTTGGATAACTAAGGTCATTTATTGGGAAGAAACATGACAGGACTGCGTCTTGATAGCTCAGTGGTAGAGCATTAGTCTTGTTAAACGATGTCCTGGATTCGGTTCCCAATCGAGACATACTTTTTCCGGATGTTTGTTTATCGAAAGTTTAGTCGTTAAGAACTATGTTTCTTAACTGTGATAGGAAAAACTCTTTGTTCAGTCTCAAAAAAACTGATATAGATTTGTGGCTTTCACCATTTTATAGCCAAAACTTAAGTCTTTACATTTACGAAAAGTTCATTTTGAAATTCTAGGTCCACTATGTCACACTTTTTGTAAGCGATGCCTATTCGATGCGTCCTACAGTATGGGCATCCCCAAAACAACTGGAACATAGGTTACTGATCACGTTGAGTCTTGTGGAAATGTTTATTTTGACTGGAAAGTGTCAAAACTTCAAAATTAAAATACTATTTTAGATGAAATACTCCATCCACTATAGGTTATTTTGATGAAAAGTTAGAAAATCCATAACTGACTTAGAGCCAGGTCAAAACTTAAAAATATTATCTTTTACAAACTGACGGTTTAAATAATGGTGTGATTCAAACCACGAGAACAACTTCAAAAACTTTCAAAAACCCAGTCAAGACATTCTCTTTGAGTTTACTGCACATTTGAGTTAATTACCTTTGTTTTTTTTATAGTCCCAAATTTTTGGTACAAAACGGAAAAAATTGCAAGTCTATATCACCTTTTGTTCTGAAGTTATTCAGACAACAATCGAACTCATTCAATTTAACGATAAATAGTAACAATGATATACACATAGTCTATTTTAGATTATGTTAAAATTTCGACTTGTTCTGAAGTCTTTAGTATCTCGTTATATACAACTTCGAATGATAAGCAATGTTGTCAAACAAGGAGTTGCAATTGATATCAATTTAAATGACTATGATCCAAAACAAGTTCAGTTGCTCTATGAACCAATGATAGTTGTAGATGACAAAGATTGTATGTTGGGTACAGCAACAAAAAAAGATGTTCATTTATTATCAAATATTAATAATGGTCTTATCCATCGTGCATTTAGTCTATTTTTATTTAATTCCAAAACAAATGAATTATTATTACAACAACGTTCACCAGAGAAAATAACATATCCAAATTTATGGACAAATACATGTTGTTCTCATCCATTATATAATGATCAAGAATTGGATGGAGGACAGGGGATTAAACATGCCGTTATACGACGTGTGAATTATGAATTAGGATGTGATTTTTTAACAAACGGTAAATATTTCAACTATTTTTTCTTATTATCTATTTTTTCTCGCATTTTTTATTCTATGTCTTTTAGATGATTTACACTATTTAACTCGAATCTATTATCGAGCTGAAAACATTCCAAACGATCATTTATTTGGTGAATGTGAAATTGATTATATTGTTGTAGCTTTCAAAAATTTTAATTTATTAACCGATTTAAAACCAAATTTAAATGAAATTAGTAAAATTAAACTTATGCCTTTGGAACAGGTGGAACAGTTAAATGAAGAAACCATCACACCTTGGTTTCGAATGATTATCAAATCTGGACTATTGAAACAATGGTGGAAATCAATTCCAAATGATCTCACAAAGTGTATTGATCATACAAATATCCACAAAATGGCTTAAAGTGATATATCTCTCTTTTATTTTTTTCCTAAACTTCTGAATTATTACTATTTTTTATATATATATGTGTTTTTTCGATTTTTCATCTTTCCATATTTTATGTGCACAAAGAATTGAATTGAGACAAATAAATGATGACGAAATCACAATGTGAAGTAAATATTGTTCATTCAACTAACTTATATGATGCCAAACGATGTCTCATATATCTTCCATGGAGATACAGTTTAAAAATGGAACATGGTTGGTTTCTTATGGAATGGTTTTCTTATTCACCATCTCTCATCTCTCCAGGTTTCTTCGTTTTATTGTTCTTCATTGTGTTTGTTTTGTACATTTCCTCTCATTCAAGAACTTTTCTTCATATTTTTAGACAAAATATGCTTTGAGAACCAAATTGTTTCTATAGTTTTAATTAAAACAGCATTATAAAGCTATATTAGTTAACATCCTGTGTAGGAATGCGGTTGTGAATCACCTTTATGAATTTCTTTGCTAATTGTTCTGTTTTTTGCTTGAGTCACCTAATCAAGACTTCACTGCTTCAAGTGCGCGATGAGGCGAATATCTGTCACACAAAAATACAAATTATACTTCTGAAAGAATTCACGAAGGAATTAAAGGACAACATAACGGTACACCTCGGATTGTATACAAGACTGACATAGAACAGCACCATACTGACGAGTGTGCCATCATTTTTTGAAAACTTGAGTTTTTTCAAAAAAAAATAGCTTTTTTCGTAGACATTGATCGCAATGAAATAAGTTTTGGTGTAGTGAAATGTAAATATACTGGTGTAAGCATGTATAAGAAAGCTACTTTCCTCTCATTTATCAATTTAGCTTTCTTGATGAAGATCGTCGTTTTGGTCTCACATCTGGAATGAATCCGAATCTTTTATTTCGTGATGTAGGCCTTTCGCGCGATGGTGGTTGAGGAAGATCGTTTATTATTCCGAGATGCAAAGAATCTCGGACTTTTCTTCATTGTTGAATTTCAGCCTACGTTTGTTCGTCTTCGAACGCCTCCTCATCTTCTTTGTCAATTTCAGCCGTTTGAATTTGCTTTCCTCTTGTCGATTTAAGGAATTCGGCTGAAGTGAATAAAAATTTTCCATTGGGAGCTTTTTTCTGCTGCATCTCGGCTGCCACTTCTTCTGGTTTCTAGCGAATTTTATTTTGCAGTCAATACTCAAATTTTTCTGTCAATTACCGAATTTCTAGTGGATGTTTGTATTCTGTTCTTCGGTAGAGCCCATCCGCGTTCCAGACAGATAACTGTTATGTTTTGATTGTCAGAAGTGATTGATGGTTCTTCCAACACATGTAATACATGTGCAGAGCTGGAATCGGTCCGGTAAACTGGTACCGGCCAGGACCGGTTGAAAAAGTCAACCGGGTCGGTAGAGACCGGTATTTTACCAGTTGAAAGTTTTGAAACATCTGCTCTTTTTACACTGCTTTTTGTCAAAAAAACTAAAATTTCACGTCTTTTTCAGCCAGAATAAATAAGACGATGCTCAAGACTATTATTTTCATCAACCGGTTTCAGCTCTGTACATGTGTAATATTTTTTATGCTTTTTGGGATCGAAAGATTCTATTAATTGTCTGTAATGGACGTTGCATATAAACAGCTTGTTATAATCTACTATAAGATCGAGAGTTTTCTGGTTTTCTTTTGAAGACTATAATCGAACTGTTACAGACGTTGCACATTAAGAGATACAGTCTTTTTTCTTATGGAAATAATAATAATAATAGGAAAAAGAGAGAAAAAACTAAATTCGAAATTTGATTTTATGATTAGCATATATAACAGTTAGAATAATTAAGATAAAATATTAGCAAAAAACTATATATATATATATGCTTTATTACTACCCTTTGTGGGCCTGTTAAGACAAAATACAATAAAGTAGCATGGAAATTTCTGTAAATTAATTAGTTGATTTTAAAAATAGAATACACAATATAAAAAAGAAAAAGAAAACTTATAAGAAAGAAACATGCTACATATATCTGACAATTGAGCTATAAAAAAGATTCAG